AAAAAAAAAAAAGTCCCTCAGAAAACTAACAATAAAGGTAATTTTCTCAATATAATAAGAAGTATTTATGGAAAACCATACTCAGTGGTGAAAAATTGAAAGCTTTTTTCTTAAGATCAGGCATGACACAAAGATGCATCCTGTCACCACTGCTATTCCAGACTGCCCTGGAGGTTCCAATCACAGCTATCAGATGGGAAAATGAAGTGAAAATCATCCAAATTGTAAAGAAAGAGGGAAAACTATCTCTATTCACAGATGGCATGACCCATATACAGAAACCCCAAAGAACTCACAAGACAGCTATTACAGTTAGTAAACAAATTGCAGGGTACGGTGAATGGAATATAAAGTCAGTCACCAGCATTGAACAATCTAAAGAAGAAATTAAGAAAACAATTTCTTTTTTTTTTTTTTTTTTTGAGACAGAGCCTCAAGCTGTCCCCCTGGGGAGAGTGCCATGGCATCACAGCTCACAGCAACCTCCAGCTCCTGGGTTCAAGTGAGTCTCCGGCCTCAGCCTCCCAAGTAGCTGGGACTACAGGCACCCGCCACAATGCCTGGCTATTTTTTGGTTGTAGCCATCATTGTTGTTTGGCGGGCCGGGCTGGATTCAAACCCCCCACCTTAGGTGTATGTGGCTGGTGCCTTAGTCACTTGAGCCACAGGTGTTGAGCCAAGAAAACAACTTCATTTACACTAGCATCTAAAATAAGTAAATGCTTAGGAATAAATCTAACCAAGGAGGTAGAGACTTGAACACTAAAAAATACAAAAGATGGCTTAAAGAAATTAAAGAATACATAGTATCTAAGTAAATGAAAAGACATCTCATGCTCCTGGAAAGGAAGACTTAACATTGTTAAGATGTCCAATACTATCAAAAATAACCTACAGATTTAACACACTGCCTACCAAGTTTCCAAGGTCCTGTTTCAAAGAAATAGAAGCAGATCCTCAAATTCACATGGAATTGCAAGGGACCCCAAATAACCAAAACAATCTTGAAAAAGGACAAAGTTGGAGGACTCACATTTCCCAACTTTGAACTCACTACAAAGCTACAGTAATTGAAACAATATGGTACTGGCATAAGGGTAGACATATAGGCTAATGGAATATAATTGAGAACTCAGAAACATTCTCACATATAGGATCAACTGATTTTTTACAAGGAAGTCAAGACTGTGTAATGGGGAAAGGACAGTCTTTTCAACAGATGTTGATAGGAAAACTGAATATCCACATACAAAAGGATGAAGTCAAATCTTTATTTTATACCACATACAAAAATTAAAATGTCTCAAAGACCCAACTTAAGAGTTAAAATTATAAAACTCTTAGAAGAAAATATTGAGGAACATTTTAACTACATTGGATTTGGCAACAATTGCATAGATATGACATCAAAAGTACAGGGAAGAAAAATAATGGATAAATTGAACTTCATCAAATTAAGAACTTTTGTGCATCAAAAAGGATAACATCAAAAAGTGAAAAAACCTAAAGAATGGAAGAAAATATTTGCAAATCATATATGGGACAACGGATTGATATTCAAAATACATAAAGAATACCTAGGCCAGGCGTGGTGGTTCACGCCTGTTGTCCCAGCGCTGTGGGAGGCCGAGGCGGGTGGATCGCCTGAGTTCGAGACCATCGGAAGACCAGCATTAGGCAGAGTGAGCCAGAGACCCCGTCTCTACAAAAAAAAAAACAAAAAACAAAACCAGCCGGACGTTGTGATCCCAGCTACATGGGAGGGCAAGAGAATCACTACAGGAGGAAAAAGTTAAAAAAAAAAAAAACCAACAAAAACAACTTCAAACTAACATAAAGTGAAAGCCAGCAGAAATTGAAAGCAAAAATAAAATACAAATTTAAAAAAATTCCTTCAACTTGGCAACAAAAATATAAACAACCCAATTCAAAAATGGGCAAAGGACTTGAATAGAAATTTCCTCAAAGAAGATACATGATCTTCTTTGTGTTGGACAATAAGTACACGAAAAGATGTACGACGTCATTAGTCATTAAGAAAATAGGGATTAAAACTGCACTGATACGTCACTTCACACCTATTAGGCGGCTTTAATTAAGAGAATGGATAACAAGTGGTGGTAAGGAAGCGGAGAAATTGGAACCTTCTCGCACTCCAAGTGGGAATCTAAAATAGTGCAGCCACCGTGGAAAACAGTTTGGCAGTTCCTCAAAAGGTTAGAAATAAGGGCTGGGCGCAGTGGCTAACGCACGGAATCCCAGCGCTCTGGGAGGCTGAGGTGGGAGGAGATTACAAGCTCAGGAGTTCAAGACCAGCCCTGAGCAAGGGCGAGACCTTGTCTCTACTAAAAATAGAAAACCTAGCTAGGCGTTGGAACGGGCACCTGTAGTCCCAGCTACTGCGGAGGATGAGGCACGAGGATCACTTGAGTCCAAGAGTTTGAGGTTGCTGTGAGTTGTGATGCCACAGCACTCTACCTAGGGCGACAGAGTGAGACTCCGTTTCAATTTTTTTTTCTTTTGAAGTGAAAATGGTGATATTTTACAAAAAGTAGCCATGAGAGGTGACTTCTATGCAAAGCCCTAAAGGAGGTGGAGGATCGCGTGGTCATCTGTGGGAAGGGTGTCCGGGCAGAGGGAGTAACACGGACAGTGGCCCGAAGGGCTGCGAGAAGCCTTTTCCGAACAGCCAGGAACCCAGGAGGAGGCGGGAGTGGCTAAAACCCAGCGAGCCAGGGAGAGCGGGCGGAGGCGAGGCTGGAGAGGGATCCGCCCACGGTTTCTGGTAGGAGTGCGGAGGAGCCACAGGAGGGCTTGAGCCGAGGGACGTGATCTGACTTGAGTTTTAACGGGATCTGGTAGAATACAAGCCTAGATACTGAAATCACCAGCTAGTAGCCAGTTCGCAACCTCTAGGAGTCCGAGTGAGGAAGCGCCGGTGACTCCCTCAGGATGCGCTTCCCTCAGCCGCCATCGGGGGCCAGCAGAGTCGCGCCGAGAGCCGCGCGCCGCGCGCACTGACTGCTGCGCCCTGCCCCGACCGCCCTCGGGCACAGGTGGCTAGTCCCTGGGAATGCAGAGGCAGAAACTGGTCCCTAGCGCCTCCGCTCGGCCCCTTTAAAAGCCGGTTTCCAGTGGCCTGACAGAGGGCATGGGATGCTCGGGGTGGAACCAAGAGTTGGGAACCGGGGAGGTGGTGAAAATTTCCTTAATAAAATTCCAACTTCTCTTGGGCCTGACTCCCGTCGGGCGTCCCCAAGGGGTCAGAGCTTCCTAGCCGCGAACTTCGTTTGGGTCCTTAGGTTAACTAGCTGGGAGGCACAAGAGGCCCAAAGCGTCTCCCTCCACCCAGACCGGAGAAACCCCAGCACTACTGGGAAAGTCAGGAACCACCGCGTAGCCTCTTCCAGCCCGGACCTGGCTTAGACTCCGCAAGACACACCTAGGCAGGTCCATCGCCAGCCGGGGAGAGGGGTGTGAGCAGGAAAGGAACAGGTGCGCGGCGGGACCCGCCCCCTCTGAACAGGTGAGTCACCCCAAATGGATTTCGATTCTCCAGGATCTGAGTCCGCTCAGTTTGGCTCTATGCACAGGGGGCCGGACGGGACCAGCAGTCTGAGAGCGCCCTCCCGGCCAGCAGGTCACTTGGTTCCGGCGCCGGGGGCTGGAGCGCACCTGGGTCAGCCCACTTCCGGGGAGGGAGGTGGAGGAACCCCTCCCCGCTGCCCACCCCAAGCCCTGCCCTCTGCGCCAACCCTTGTGTACCTGGGCGGATCCATTCCCCAGGGCTCGCAGGGGGTTGTGTGGTTCAGAGAACTACAGTTGGGGCAAGGAAGTTTCTCCCCGATAGCTGAAAGCGTGCGCTTCATCCACGTTGGTACCGTTCATTAAAACTTCTGGAACACCGCAGGGTGGGCTTGGAATAGGAACAAGGAACGGAAGCAGGAAAGGGGAGGAGCGTGCACCCCTCCCGGCCTTGGTGCACGCCGCGCCCCCTACTCTCGGGTACTTGGGAAGGGACGCGCGGGCTGGACGCGCCCAGACGGCCGAGATGGCGCTGGTGGCTCGCGGGCTTTCCCGTGGGCTGAGCTCTGACCCGGCCTCCCCAGGCCGGGGTACAGTGGTCTTCCTGTGGCTCCTTTTTAGCACCTGGTGCACAGGTACGGGGTACAGGGCCTCTGGTGCTGCGGGACGGCGGGAGGTCACTCTAGAGCGGGATGGATAGAGTTGTTTACGGCCGAGGAGGCGGGAGAACGTGGTGGGGGCCAGAGACTAGGACCTCCAGCTCCATTGGGTCTTCCGAGATCCCTTGTGTGCCAGGATGAGGGGAATTCCCCATCAGGATAGGGGAGCGCTCCCCGCGCCTTGTCTGGAGATAGCAGGAACCGAAACTCGCGGACGGTGAGCCCCGGAGCTGCTAGGAGAACGCGACCCTTTGTGAGGCTGGAGAGAAGGACCGCCATATCACTGGGAAAGGCTGGAGTGGGGACTTGGGCGAACCCCGATTTCTAAGTGTTGGAGTAACGGGGAGAGGGCATAGGAAGGCTGGATCAGACTCTTCCTGGAGCGAGAGATTAAGAAACAGTGCCTAGGCCTCGGGTGGATGTGGGATTGGGGACTTCCCTTCTCCGAGCCGCACCTACCTCCCGCGTTCTCGGGAGTATCTGTGCGTAAGAGTCCAGTAGGGTGGACTTATGTACTCGAAACCATCTTCTGCTGGCAGACTTTCGCCTAGATGGCATGCTTGTTTAGGTGGAGGTGAGGGAGCTCTATCTTTGGGCAAGCACTTTTCACGCGGTCATTTGAGATGGCCGTGGGTAGGATGAGGTCGTGGGGGGCTGGTGGAGATATTGCAGGGGCTGTTAGCCACTGCCTGGGAAAGCATTTCCATCGAACAAGACCAGAATTTTTCTTCCAAATTAAAAAAAGAAAAAACGAAAGAAAGAAACCTAGGTAACCTGGAACCGTTGACGGTTCGTTTTGAAGTGGGGCCTGGGGCACCGAAGGCATTGCAGTGGCCAGAGACCAATAGCCAAGGCAAGAGGGGACAGGGTGGTTTAGAGCTGCAGTTCCCAGTCCCAGGGTGGTGGACAGGTATGGTCTGTAGCCTGTTAGGCACTGGGTGGCAGAGCAGGAGGTGAACTGTGAGCAGAGCTTCATCTGTATTTACAGCCTTGCTCATGCCACCACCTGAGCTCTGCCTCTTGTCAGATCAGTGGGGATATTAGATTTTCAGAGGTGCGCCAACCCTACTGTAAGATGTGCATTCAAGGGATCTAGGTTGTGAGCTCCTTATGAGAATCTGATGCCAATGAACTGAGATGGGGCTGTAATGTACTGAATCATCCAGAAACCATCCCCCAGTCCCCTGTGTGTGGAAAAATTGTCTTCCATGAAACTGGTCACTGATGCCAAAAAGATTGGGATGCCTGACTCCCTTTGGGCATCCCAAGGGGATTAGGCTACAGGCTGGGGAGAGAGATGGCTGGGAGGTTCCAAGGAAACTGGCCACGTGTGACTGTACCTGCCACTTCAGCCCCACGGGTCTATAAAATGGGCATGATTATCGTACCTACCTCACTGGGGTGCTCCATGAAACCGTGCACTCTGTCAAGCTGGTGACAAGTGGTGTTCCTCATTTCTGTTGAAGTACCTCCCTGAGCTCACGGTAGTCCCTGTTGACACGTCTTTTGCCCTCAGCTCCTGCCAGTGCTATCCAGGTGACTGTGTCAGATCCCTTTCACGTGGTGATCCTCTTCCAGCCGGTGACCCTGCCCTGCAGCTACCAGGTGTCCACGACCCCCACAGTACCCATTGTGATCTGGAAGTACAAGTCCTTCTGCCGGGACCGCATCACTGACGCCTTCTCCTCAGCCAGTGCTGACAACCAGCTCAATGCCCAGCTGGCAGCTGGTAACCCCGGCTACAACCCTTATGTGGAGTGCCAGGACAGCGTTCGCACCGTCAGGGTTGTGGCCACCAAGCAGGGCAATGCTGTGACCCTGGGAGAGTACTACCAGGGCCGGAGGATCACCATCACAGGAAGTACTTTGAGTGGGGCAGGGGGATGAGGCTGGGCTTGCTTGGGTGGTGGGGCTGGCACCTTTGTACCCCATCTACAGTTCCCACCTGGAGGCTGTTGAGTGTCCATGTCTTAGAGGACAGTGAAGGGAGTGATCCTTCCTTCTATCTTTCCATCCATTCCCTTTATCTAACAGCAAAGATTTATTGAGCACCTAACATGTAACAGATGCTGTTCTAGGCCTGGGGAATACAGCAGTAGTCAAAATTGTCAAATCACAGGTCACGTTCCCGTGAGAAAGACAAACTCAAACTATCAAATGCTTGATGACAGAGAAAACTGGGCAATGGAGAGAGAGGCAGGGGTTCATTCTGTAATAATACCAGTCATATGAACGATGAGAAGTAAAACTTATGTAACAACATACAGAGGGTCTCCTGTGCCAGGCTCTCATCCAGGTCTATATGGAAGGACTCATTTTAGATTAATTTAGTAATTCAATGAATCAGTTCTATCATTGTTACTTTACAGAAGTCCAGAGAGATGAAGTGACAGGGACTGGGTCCCACAGCTGGTAACAGCTGGGATTGTAACTCAGCCACTGTGATTCTAGGCTAGAGAGGAGGTGGCATGAGTGACCTGAAGGGGCAAGAGACTTTAATGGGAAAACCACAGCTCACCGGGCACTTTATGCACATTGGTCCACTGAGTCCTCACCACCTGATTTTTATACTCCTGACAGCTGAGGCAACATTAGTTCCTCTGGGTACACAGGTAGTAAAGGTTTGGGTCTGGGACCCAGGCAGCCCTGACAGCTCTTGTTCATAACCATAATGTAGCCTCCTGACAGAGGTGCCTGTTGGGACTAAGTGAGGGGCAGTGGGAAGGCAGCCATTCATCTGGTCAGTATTTATCAAGCATCTGCTATGGGCTAAGCACTGTGGTGGGTGCTGGGCATAGTGTGGTGATTGGGATGGCCAAGGTCCCTGCCCTCAAGGAGAGGACATTCTAGTGCATGAAACTGGCAGTAAAAATGCAGGCAAAGAAAGAATAATAGGATTTCAGAGTGCTAGGTGCTGCAAAGAAACCCTGGTGATGTCCCCCTGAAGACCTCTATGAATGTGATTTGAGAGAACGCTGGGTCTGGGCCCTAAAGGTGGGGGGCAGTGGCCCAGGGTGAAGGTGCACCCACTTAATGGATGTATTCTGTCATGATCTTGAACAAGGATTAGACTGTTAGTCTAGGGCATGGGGATAGAGAGAGAAGGAAGATTCTGTTGCAGACCCCAGGAAACCAGGCCTCGGAGCATGCACCTTCCTCTGTGCTGTTGGATCAGGGATGAAAGGCAGGGTTCCAGGGGCCCAGCCTGTCAGTCTTGTTCTGGGGAGGGACCAGGCTTGCTTGCCCTGAATTCCCCTGGGCAGCTCAGCTGTCAGCATCCTGCTGTTCTGGAGGTTGGGGTGCTTTTTATGTGTGTGTGTGGGGGTAACCTATACAGGCACCCTCCCCTCTAACCCAGGGATTGCTCCAGTCTGGACCAGGCACGATTGCCCAGTGACTGTCAGGACAGCCCAGATATTGAGAGTGGCTCCTCTGCTGGGCGCAAAACTCCAGAATATGGGTGGGGAACCTTTCCTGCTCTAGAGGCCTCACAGGCCTAGGTCTTTTAAGCTGCCTTGAGCCAGGTCCTGCCCTGACTATAAACATCCATTGTGAGTCTGTCCTTTCAGGAAACCCAGTACCCCTGAGAGCTTCCTCCATTTCAGCTTTGAGGTTGGGGAAAAGGGGACTTCCCACCATGCTGGTTTTAAAAGTGAAAAGAAAAGAGACCTGGGCCACCCAGAAAGTTGTTCACCATAGGGGTCCCTCAGGTCAGGGTGAGTCCTCCTTTCTGTTCATTTTTCCCTGCTTGGAATGGTAATAGGGCACCCAGGGAGACCCTTTGAGGCCCATATGTCCTCACTCAGCAATAGTGGAATAGAGGGCCCATGAGACTTCTAGAACCATGAGGGCCACCCCTACTGTGTATGAAGAGGGAACCAGAGGCCTGGCTTCTGTTCCCATCAGAGACCCAGCATCTTCTCCCTGTACCTAAAAGAATTACAGCAGTGCCTAAACCCATGTGATCTCAGGGCCAGATGGGGACTGGGAACAGGGTGTGCCTTGCAGGAAGGAGGTGGGTCCAGGCCTTTAGATTGATCTAAAGATGCCGGAAAGCCATATTTTTTTGTGGGTTTTAAAAACATTATACAGGCCAAACCAAACGCAACCAGGCCCATACTGGGCCCTTGACACTCCCAGATGTCACCCCCTGGCCTGATGTAAAGATACTGGTGGAAAAAAAAATGGGCCAAGAGGGCACTGTGGAAAATCTGGAGGATTTAGGAGAATCTATTATAGTTTAGAGCAGTGATTTTCAACCCATGTACCACGGCACAGTGGTGTGCCGTTAGAGGATCTTAGGTGTGCCATGAACATTTTTAAAGATCATTAATTATTTCTGAAAGAAGTTCAAAGCACTGTAAGCATATGCTTTTAAATTCTTTTTTAGATCAATATAATTTGAGTGTGCTATGGAGGTTTAACTATAGGTTCAAGTGTACCATGAGATTAAAAATGGTTGAGAAACACCAATTTAGAGTTTTATGAGGATTCATTGGTAGAATATGTGCAAAGGGACCTAGCACACAGTAAGAGCTTAATAACCAGAGGCCAGGCTAGATGCCTGGCTGTGGAGGGGAGGCTCGTCCCCATCTCCTTTCTGCTCCCAAGGTCACCTTATCCGGAGGCCCTCCCTGGCTCCTGCTCCTTGCCAGTACTCCCTGGCTGCCTTCTCTGATTTGTTTTCTCTGTACAGCTTACCGCTCTCTAATATGTGACATAGTTCAATTTTTTATTTGTCTCTCTTTCCCAGTTAGAACCTGAGCTCCATAAAGGCAAGAATTTATGTCAGTTTTTTATAGCAGTGATTCTTAATGTTTCGATCTTAGAATCTCTTCACACTCTTAATTACTGAGGTCCTCAAAGGGCTTTTGTTTTTATAGCCAGCAGACTGAGAGGAGTTTAACAAATGTTTTAAATGACACTCTTAAACTTATAGGGTAACATAAATAACATGCTTTATGGGGGGAAACATACAAAACAAAACACCCCTATGTTCCAAAATCAAACAAAGAAATTTCAATGAGAAGAGTGGAATTGTTTTATATTTTTGAAAGTCTCTGAAGTCGGGCTAAATAGAAGAGGCTGGCTTCTCAATGCTGCCTCAGAGTCTATCTCATTTCCCTGAAGCCTCTGGAAAACTCCACATTACACCCAGGAGAGTAGGGGGAAAGGTAAATAATGTTTTGGTATTGCTATGCAAATAACACAGGCCTTAGTGTGGAGGCTCACACCTGTAATCCCAGCACTGGGAGAGGCTGAGGAGGCTGAAGTGGGAGGATCCGCTGAGGCTAGAGTTGGAGACCAGCCTACGCAAAACAGTCTCAAAAAAAAAATTTTTTTTTTCTCTTCTAAAGATACCATATTTAAAAAATGAAAAAGATAAAAAAAACCTTTGATCTTAGGGACCTCCTGAAAAGGTCTGAGGGAACCCCAGAGGTACCCAGGCCACACTTGGAAAACCATTGTTCTGTAGTATACCAGGTGTCCCCAGTACTGCCTAGAACACAGGGTATGCTCAGTAATTATTTGTTGAATGTTGAATGAATGAACAGGTGTGTGCCCAGAATCCTGGAACAGACAGCCAAAGCTAAGGAAGGTCAGCATGAGGAGAGAGTGGCTTCTTTTCTGCTCCCTGTCTGGCCCTGTGTCATGCGCTGGGACCCAGCAGTGGCAGAGACAGATTGGCTTCTGTGGTATAGAGCCTGCTTTCTCATGGGGCAATGGGTGGTTGGCCTTGGCACCAGCAAGGCAGGCAGGAGGCCAGCATGCCAGGGACCTTGCGGAGGCCAGTGTGTCTGCAGTCTAGTGAGTGAAGGTGATGGTGGGGTGAGGCTGGCCAGGTCATGCCAAGGGCCCTGTGGGCCTGGTGAAGGCATCTGGGATGGTGTAAGCTGACCCTGTTGAAAGGAGGGTCTCTCTGTGGACCTGAGGCATTCCTGCTGAGGAGAAAGGAAGGCTTAGGTTCTTTCATTCCTTTAGCAGTTTTTGACAGATGTCCCATTGGCCGCCAAGGGGTACACCCACAGTTACTGCTCTCAGAGCTGTCATGGTGGAGAGCAAGGTGTCCAGAGTAAGGCTGTAGGCAGGTTACTGGGAACTGGAGCTGCTGGGAAAGAAGTTAGGGCACTTCCTGGCTGCCACGCTCACCTCTGGCCGCCCCCCCCCCATGGGCCTAAGGCAGAGCCCTCCCCCGTGGGTTCCCCCTGTCCACACTGGTGAGTGCCTAGAGGTATTTAACTAATTAGGGTCTAAGGAGTAGAGCGGAAACCGGATGTGGTGAAAGACTTTGATTAGTGGCATAATTAACAGTTTCCTTGCCTGGGTCTGCTTCTGGCTAGAGCGTCCCCAAGCCCTGAGCCTGACCTGGAAGGTAGGAAGGTAGGGAGTGGATAGGTAAGTGGGAAGGTCTCAGTGCCTCTGACTCCCACATAGACACACTGGCTCTTTGGAGTTGCCTGGGCATCTCCTGGTTTCTGGAACGAGGCCCATCTCTGCCTCTTTACTCTGGGCCCATCCCCTGGGCTCCATGGCAATGCACAGCCAGGGAGTTAAGGCTCTGAGAGGTGGTGCAGAGGATGGCTCTAAGTTGAAAAGCACCGTCTCTGGAGACGGACTGTCCCTGCCCCCACCACTGGTGATCTGCCCGACTTTGGGCAGATGAGGTGATCTCTACAGACCTGGTATCTCATCTACAGTACAGGAGTGAGAATGATACCCTCCTTACAGACTTCCTAGGATACCCTGAGTAAGTGTTTAGAACAGGGCACAAAGGGCAGCATGCTTTTGGTAAGAATTCTCTCCTTGCACCTCAATATCTGCAGTTCTGGTGGTGTGCTGGGAGCAGGGGTGACTCTGGTTAGGTGCCCGCCACCCCTAAGGTACCCTTATGCCATGTCCTCCCGACCCAGATGCTGACCTGACCTTTGACCAGACCGCGTGGGGGGACAGTGGTGTATATTACTGCTCCGTGGTCTCAGCCCAGGACCTCCAGGGGAACAATGAGGCCTACGCAGAGCTCATCGTCCTTGGTGAGTGGGGCTAGGCCCCAGGGACCTGGGACGGGGGAGGGTGTTGCCCCTTCTGTCCACCTCTGTCTGTCTGCCCTCTGCCCTCCAGCTCACGCTCTGGGCTCTGTCGCCGGCTTTGCTCTTCCCTCAGCACTGCCAGTCACTTGGGCTTTTTTTATATCTTGCACCCCAGGCAGGGTCCCCTTGCCCATAGGCTTCAAATCAGCCAGAGCCAAACAAGAATGGAGAGAACTGGGGATTCTGCTTCTTTCCAGTCTCTCTCTCTCTCTCTCTCTTTTTTTTTTTTTTTTTGCAAATCCAGACATTATCAGCAACAAGTGAGGCTAGCCGATTGTATATAAAATCGAGACAGGTGGACCACCTGCCACCCCTCTGAGTCCCTTGCTAAATAATAGGTGCTTTGCCATCTGCCCTTCTGGGAGGGCGCTGCATGGCCTATACAGATGTGCAAGTTTGAGTGAGGCTGAGAGGAGGCCAGCTCTAGGCCTCCCTGCCACATGGGGAGGGGACATGGCCACTGGCCAGGTGCCCTGCTGTCCACTAACATACATAGTCTTGTGTGGTACCTGCTCTGTATGAAAGGTGCTGGGTCTGCAGCTCACTGTCACCATGTGTGAGTGAATGAGCACGTGGCTGGGAGCCAGCCAGGTGCTCGTGCCACAGCACAGTTCACATGTTGCACTGGTGACTCGGGAACCACCAGGGGTCCTTTGACAAAACACTCCATCTATACCAGTAGTTCCCATACTCTAAAAGTAATAATCAAGGGTGTCCGGGAGTTTTTGTTTTTTAAGTTTTTGTGGGTTGTATCTCTAGTTGCTTAGAAGAAGAAAGGAGCGGCTTGGCGCCTGTGGCTCAAGTGGCTAAGGCGCCTGCCACATACACCTAAGGTGGCAGGTTCCAATCCAGCCCGGCGCGCCAAACAACAGTGATGGCTGCAACCAAAAAAATAGCCAAGCGTTGTGGCGGGCGCCTGTGGTCCCAGCTACTTGGGAGGCTGAGGCAGGAGACTCGCTTGAGCCCAGGAGTTGAAGGTTGCTGTGAGCGGTGATGCAACAGCACTCTACCCAGGGTGACAGCTTGAGGCTCTGTCT